TATATACATATATACATATTCAGATAACAAGGTTTAGGATTCCAGATGATTGACAGTTTCATAATAAATGCATATAGACTGATTATTACCTTCACTTTTGTCCTGGGATTTGGGCTCTGACTTTCGTCTGGCCACACTGGTCAGAGTTTCAGCTTTATCTTTAAATTTCCCTGTGAAAAAGATAAGCAGGCAAACGTGCTGATTACAACTCATCACCAATAGGAGTGCAATAGTAACATTACACAGATCAATATAATGATAGAATGGAAAAAATATATATATCCATAACGCAAGAGACTTGAAAACAAAATTAACAAATTGTTCTAGGAAACCAGTAAAATTACAGATGAATGCAGATATAAATTACCCTAACAGCTGCACTACCCTCATATCCCTCTGGGCTATTTTCTGAAATCTGAGTTACTGGAACCATATGTTCCTTCTCCAGCCCTGAGATCATCTAATCAGCTGATTTGGGCTGTTCCATAAACAAAACTGAAGCTCAGAGGTGATCAGTCATTTTCAGTCATGGGCCCCAAACTTTGGAGCAACCTGCCCCCCGACATCAGGCAGGCCACTTCACTTCCTGTTTTTAAAACTCTACTAAAAACGCATCTGTTTGTACACCGTGTGATTTGATTTAGTATTTTATTGCTCTGCGTTTCAGTGTTTTCTCTTCTGATGCTTGTAATTTATTTTCAGTACTATCATTATTTTTATTGTTACTTTTTCTTGCCCCATGAAATTTTTCCCCATTGATTTTACTGTTAAGCACTTTGGTGACAGCTGCTGTTTTAAATGTGCGTCATAAATAAAGTCCACTTGACTAACAGAAATGACAAAACTGAATTCAAGCCACACACAACAAAACAGGCTACAGACATCTGGTCTTTTAGAGCAGGGGTCCCAGATTTTTAAGCTTCTGATCCCCAAAATAAGACTTGCAGCTTCTATCTTCTTCTACTATCATACTGGTAATTTATTTTTCTGAAGGCTGGACAGAATCAGTCTGCACCATACTGACTACCAGTAATCATTACACCATTCATGTCTGACTCTAAATAACCTTCTTAACTTTGATATAACTATTTAAATGTACTGCAGCCATAATTTCCTTTCATCTGTTACACCCTGAACCTGTAAATGAATCCTTCTGCATACAGAGGAGGGGTTTATCTGCTTAGTATCAATCTGGCTTTAGTCATGCCTTCATACAGGACACTTAGCTAATCCTTTTTACTCTGAGAAGGGTGGAAGTATACAGAAAGTACTCATGAAAGTAACTTGAAGGCGTGCTATTATTGATAAACAGGGTCCAGTACTTACCCTCTCCTAGAGGGTCTAATGTGTGAATCATGAGCTGGAAGATGGTGGTTCTCATGGTGCTGTTGTGTAAAGAAGCAGAACTCCCCCCTCGCTGAAGAGATGGTTTCAACTAGGGGTTAAAAAAAATAGCTGAAGTCATGACGACTCGTTCATTTCTAACTGGAGATCTGAATATTTGTTTTGCTTATACACATTTATGCAAATGAACGTGAACAAAATCTCAAAATTAACACATATGATGGAGTTAATTGGTTCTCTTCTTGAAGTTGATTCATTAGTTTAACACAGTTCAAGATGGCTGCCCCAGCTTATTGAATTCAGCAAAGACAAAAATGCCGATAACGCAGCCAGTTGTGCAGATATCGAGTTACATTTTATTGTGGGAGTAGTTGAGAGTCATCTCCATCACACAGTTTGAGCACTAAAAGTTTACACATATTGTTGGCAAATATTTTGGTATGAATGACGGTAGGTCATGTGTATCCCTTTAAGAAAAGCTAGTTTTTATTCCATTTTACAATAACTATTTATTTATTTGGTTTATTTATTTTTACCTTCAAATGATTCTTGTCTTCTGAAGCAGGAAGGGCTTTAGCTCCACCATCCCCATTAATCTGTGTGCAACAATGTTGGTTTTGTCCAGCATTAATCGTTTATTGGCAGAGAAAGACAAAAGTTGTTTTATTTGGGTAAAGTTTGAATTTCAACACCAATGCTGCGGACTACTGTTTCCCACATTGTATATTATGTCAACTAATACATCTTAGATTAAAGAAGGCTAAACAAGTTGCTGTGTGCCAAAAACAAGATAATAATTTGTTAATAAACCTACCCTCCCCCGACCATCAACTAAAAACAATTATACAGTTGTGTGATTATCTGCAAAGTATCATTGAATAATTACATTAACGCTTTAGGGCCTCAGCTTTAGCAGCAGCTCAACAAAATAAAAGCATCATATGTAGGGAAAGCAAACATCAACCCAGGTACCTAAAATTAAAGACAATGAATGTTAATGTTATATTGTTTTATTGCACTGGAGCTCCTAAAATGATTAGTTCAATCATCTTTGCTTCATGCATGCCTCTGCTAGCATCTAGTACTAATTTTATTTCACAATTTTTGGAAAAGGCACAAAGAAAGACAATGATGTCATAGATGCCAGGTCACAGGTAACAAAAGAGGCGAGAAAAATAAGATTTACTATTTTGGTTTTGTGGATTATCTTTAAATTTTCATGCATTTATGTTCAAATATTCGGCATGCCTTCACACTAGAGCATATGTGTCAAACTCAAGGACTGGGGGCCAAATGTGGCCCTCGTTGACATCCTATCCGGCCCCCAAGATGATATGTGAAGCGTAAAATACTTCTATCTCTTGAATTGTTTCAGTAATCTTTGATTATGATGTCGAAAGCACAACAGAGAACGTCATATGAGACCAATCAAACTCTTGTTGAGGAACCTGTGACCAAGAAAAGATGTCGGTATCTGATTTGAGTTAATGTAGTTTCTGAAATTGGCCCTTGGTTTGAAAAAGGGTTTAATTTTAGCCCCCTTTTATGTGAGTTTGACACCACTGCACTAGAGGATGACACCACTATGCTCTCCAAGACCTGCAGGATCCATTAGAATGTGGATGCAAATTTGGATAAACTTCTTCAATGTGAACGTATGATGCCCACGTCTCTGAGACGATCTCCTCCGCCTTTACAATGAGCCATGCATGCACCCTGACGCAGCTCTCTTAGACCATGTCAGGCTGCTGCTGCCTACTGGTAGATTACACCAGACTAACTCAACTGTTTTGCCACAGGCATCGTATCTGCACATGGTTGTTTCCATATTCTTGTCACAGTCATGAATGTAGCCCATGGCACAACTCCATAGCCAGTCCTGCTACAAATTCTTGATGACTAAACAACGCTAGTGTGCAAAAAATTTTAAGTATAAAATTCAACACTAGACTGACCGAATGAACATGACCACATCATTTAAACCTAAAAAGTTTTGTTGCAGGAGTGCTTACCTTTTCAGGTTCTTCCACAGCAATAACCTTCACAAAGCTCTTGTGTTTATGGAGTTGGGTTTTGAACGCTCGCTCCAGCTGCACGTTAAATTTCATAAAGACGACATACAGAGTGTAACAGCCCACCAGCATCATGCTCTCCCACCACATGATGATGTTGTCCAAGAAGAAGATAATCAGTAAAATGAGGTCAAGTATGTAGAAGGATACGTCTCTAAAAAGTGGCCACCAGGTTAGATGGAGGACCTCTCGAGAAAACAAAGCACACATTCCAATTACAAACAAAATGTTGAAAACAGCTGAACCCACAATGGTGCCGATGCCCACGTTGCTGTGGGCGATGAAGACTCCTATCAAGGAGGTGAACAGCTCAGGTGCAGAACCTCCAGCAGCCATGAAGGTGGCTCCTGCTACATCATCAGAGATGGCTAATTTGTCTGTGATTACCCCAAGCGCTGGCACAAAGAACTCATCACAGACAATGGCAAGAGACACAAACATATACATCATCCCCAGAATGTGGAGGATCACCCATCCTCGTCTGCGATCTTCAATGGTGAAGATATCTTCAGGGTATTCACCTTTTACTTGTGGGGCTTGATCAGGAGAAGATGGGGAGACGGTGGTAACTGAAGGAGCTGGAGCTGGAGCTGGAGTGGGTGTCTCTCCAGGAGGTTCAGAGGCCACGAAGATGCAGTGCACAATGGTCCGGTTTGTGGTTGGCAGCTGTGGTGATTCAGTGGTGATGGACGCTTTCGATTCCTTATTTTTACGATGGACCACATGAATCGCTGGCGTTGTCTGATCTGTGAGCTCTATTTCATGTGTTGCGGTGAGAGGTTCCTCCAGCCCTCCTGGTTCTACTGTGGCCTCCTCAACGCCCTCTGTTGAACCTTCTCCAAAGTCCTCTCTGGTCTGAGGCATTAGCAAAGGCTCATACAGTCGGGCACTGATGGTGAGCTGGTAGAGGGTGCAGAGGAAAACTCCAGAGAGGAGAAACAGGACTCGGCTCAGCTGCAGCCGCTTCCTTCTCGTGCAGTGCATTTTCCACAGAAGAGGCGTCGCTGGCGGCTAAGTTGAATTAAGCAGCATAAATGAGCTTTGGCAGAGTTGAGCTGTCACCCCAGCAGACCATGGAGTGAAAGAATTCAGAACTTCTGGGGGGGTGATTCATTTCACATCATCAGCTTCTTAGATAACCCAACCTATTGATCTTTTTTTTTTTAAAAGACGGTAAATATAATCATGTTAATCAGTTGATCATGTTTATTGTCAGTCAGAAACTATTTGCACATTTAAACATGTGCTTATAATGATGGTTTTCTGAAATTATGACAATGACGAAGACATAACATTAATCTAGAAAACAGCAACGACTGCACAATAAAGTAAGATAACATCTCTTGGGGTAAGGAGGTGGACCAATGCCCTAATCAAATTTAAGGAGAATAGTTGCAGATTTTAAAGATTTAGACTTACCATTGAATTGATGTCATGCACAGTCTTTTTGATTTAGATGTGACAAAAACAAAGAACGTTGACCAAAAGCTTATGTAGGACACAGAACACGTCTTCACAATGGATCAGTGTAATACCCAACACCTGAAGTCTTCTAAGAGGATTAGGTGCATTGTCTCACTCTTACTTTGTGAACATACCTTAGCATCGATGGTCAATTTATTTTTGTATTAAAAATAGAGTCCAGATTGCAAACACAGCGTTGTTGTACAATAAAATGTGAATGAACTACAACAGCACATCTGTTTAAGTATGTAATGTGATCAGGAAGCTCTTCTGCTGTTTGTGTGTCAGAAAGAAAAGCTTCGCCCCATCGAGAAGTGACACATTTTTACAGGTCTATCATCTCCAAACCGGCACCGCTTCTCGTAACTGGAGTTGTAGTCAATGGGTAATTTATTCATTTATGAGGAGGCAGGACTCTCAGTGTGTACAGTCAATTCTGGAAAAACAAACATTAAAAAAAACAATGACAAACAATCTACGCCAATGACTGTCAAATTTACTTCCCCCTAAGACACAATGTTACATGCCCTATTCAACCTCTGCTCGACTGCTTGGCTGACATCAGGGATTGGATGGCTTTAAATTTCTTGAGTTTCAATGAAAAGAAGTCTGAAGTCATGTTGATCCCTCCCAACGACAGTATCACAAACCAGTGCATCGACCTCTCTGCTCTGCCCCTGTCAGAAAAACAAAGAGTCACTAATCTGGGCATGATAATGGATTCTCTCTGAAACTTAACAGTCACGTAAACATGATTGTTAAATCATGTTTCGTCCAGCTGAGGCGGCTGTCTAAACTGAAGCCCATATTGTCCAAAAAGAACCTGGAGACAGTAATACATGCATTCATTACATCTAGGCTTGATTACTGCAATTCGCTCCTGTTTGGTATCAGTCAGACCTCCATTGCACGACTACAACTGGTCCAGAATGTAGCAGCCCGATTTTTAACCAGTACAGGCAAAAGAGAGCACATTACACCAGTTTTGGCCTCACTGCACTGGTTACCGGTTCACCTTCGAATTCAGTTCAAAATACTCCTGTATGTCTACAAATCGCTGAACAGTTTGACACCCCCCCCCCCCCCCCCATCTCTCTGATTTGCTACAGCCGTATGTCCCACCACGTTCCCTGACATCAGCGGACCAGTTGCTCCTCACAGTTCCAGGAACTTGTCTTAAGCACAGAGGTGACAGGGCCTTCTCTGTATTAGGACCAAGACTTTGGAACGAGTTACCTCTGCTTGTCAGACTGGCCCCCTCCCTCTCGGTTTTCAAATCCCATTTAAAAACCCATTACTATTCAGTAGCTTTCAACACCAGATGATCTGTGTTTTGAACCTGTTTGCTTCTCACAGGTTAGTCGTCATATTTATTATCTGCATCGTTTTTATGTCTATATTCTGATTTACTTCATGTTGTATATTGCTTTGTGTGTTACCTGTTGTTCTGTCTGTACAGCACTTTGGTTGGCCTTGTTGCTGTTTTAAGTGCTTTATAAATAAAATGGTATGGTATGGTATGGTATGGTATGGTATGGTATGGTATGGTAT